CGCAAGTACAATGCAGTAATATGCATTCGCAAACAAATCGTTTGCTGACTGACTTCGTTTCTTTTCTTGGCATAATATTATTGCCAAGAGACAATGTTCAACAATATTGATTATCAAGTACATTATATTATAGTAATTGGTAATTTTTATCGATCACTATGTTAAAACAACTGCAAAGAAATTAAATATAAAGTTATAAAATTGTAAATAATGTGTAGAGCATTAATACTTCGAGAAATGCGAGGTAGCTTGTTACGTCTACTAGAAATATGTTGAGTTATAACAGCATAATACATTTGTAACTCTCTATTAAATAATTCATACAAGGCAAATTCAGCAAAATTTTATGACTCAGAAGCAGCTTAATAGAATGTCATACTACATTTGACATCCAAAACTTGTAGTTTACATTGTTCACAAAGGGCAACTAACATCTTACTCACTTTTTGGAATTTAATCAAATGGAAGTTTTGCAAAATCCTTCAGTACCCTTTACATCGCAGTGCTCAAACTAGAATTAAACGACTCTAAAGCTATATGTCAAGGCTACTACGGATTTGAAGATGAAAAAGCACTCACAGGTGGTCCATTGCTTTAAAGTCTTTTGATTTTAGTTTGAACTTATTACTGTAATAATTCACTGAACTTATAGTGTGATCGTCCGCTGCCTAGATAAAATTCTTGCCATTCTGATGTCGCTGTTGAGATTCGATTTTTAAAATTATAATGAGTACGTATAAGTGTAATAAAGTTTACATGTGGGTGCTCAAAATGGAACCTGAAAAATTCATTGCCGTAGGTTACTATATCAACATTTACTAAATAGTTACGGAATATATAATCAATCTGCATGTTTAAAGAGACTCTACCTGCTAAGGGACCAGTTGCAACGTAGACTTCATGATGTTGAGTGAAGGAGTAAGGTTATGCTTCTTCAACTACATAATGTTTTTGTACATACTGCGCCCCTATATCTACTAAGAGAGCAGCGATTTTGAAGCAAAAAAAGGCTCATAACACGTACTTGGCAATTATTGTACCCTATCTAAAAGACTATGTACAACCTCGCAGAAAATCCAACCACTGCAAACGTATTAGCAACCGAGAAGGCACTCTTGTATAGCGAAATAAAAAATAAAACCTACCATGCAAAAGCTATACAAGATGCGAACGAATAAAATCTTGTCCATAGCTTAATCATCAATAAGGTTGCGATACGAAAATATTACCCCACAAGATGAAGCACGATACCGTTACCTCCAAGAGAGAAAATGTTGGGAGCTGAGAAAGGTACGTGCCAACACTGTAGGGAACGTGTGAAGAAGGTGGACCATCTAGCAACGCAGTGCAAAAAAATGTTATATCACGACTATAACTAGAAAGCACAATGAGGTCCTACGATGCATCCATTTGAAACTCTGCAAGAAGTATGGTCTGAAAGCATTCCCACGCATGCAGAGCTATTTTGTTCCAGAGGTCGTCGCGAATGAGAACGTAGAATTAGGATCGATACGCGAGGGAGAACAGCTATAAAGATAAATGCGAATCGACTGGATATCATGATCCACAATAAGAAGCAATGTGAAGTAATACTGATAAAAGTTGGCATCACTAATCAAGGCAGATTGACAGATGTGGAGATTGATAAAAGGCAAAAGTATGACATACTATCTCATAAACTGAGGTCCAACATGACGAAAAGTAATAATTCCGTATGTAATGACTGGGATGGGATTGTAACAATTCTAAACGCTACACGAGCCAGATCAATATATCTGATCACGTTGAGGTGTATATCCAGACAATAGTGTTCAAGACGTTCAAAAGCATCTCATCCCATCAACGTCGTAGATTCGACGAGGAAGGATGAATCAACGAAAACCAACACGGAAGCACTAAGCGCGGGTGAGGGCAGCCAGAGTGCTAAAATACAGTCCAGACCAGAATCACTAATGTAGAAACGAAGATTAACCTTTTGTGGATATCTGGAAGGACCTCCTACAAGTTATAAATAGTAAATTAATTAGAAGTTTTACAATAATGATATTTTATTAAGCCAGGTCATTTACATATAATAAAGGGAAACCGGCAGTTGAGCTTTTTATTTAATATGAAAAAGTGAAAAGTTTTTTACCATGAAAATAATTGAACGGTTGATCACATCTGGAAATTTGTCAATATTTTATTTTAACTTAAGGAAAAGCAATATATGTTAAAAAGAAATAACAAATGATAGCAAGTTGTATATATTAAATTAATTAAAAGTTTAAATCCAAAGGAGTTGAATGTAAGTAAAGTAACAAAATCATGATAATTATCAGTTTATACTAGTCTTAATGCTCTAGACTAGCTTTTATACTCACACTTCAGTTCCACTCAGCCTATCTGAAATTCTAGCAGTAAATTTCTTCATATTTTTACCAGTAGTTCTAAACTCATTTGCACTGTTGAAACAACTTTGATTCGACTAGAAGCATATCAGAAGGCGTCACTGAAACTTGTTTAATTTTTTAGCGCACAATTAATGAAAGTACGCAAAAACAATTGCTTACTCGCTCATAAGAAGTTCTGGTTGTGCCCAACAATTCTTTCAGTTATATTTTATTAAGTCTCTCACACTTCTTTGGGTAGAAATGTTGTCTTTGACAAGTTAAGAATGTTGTCAGTTGAGACATGCAGTTGCATTTGCAGACAATAGTAAGAAATGAAAAAGTGAGCAAGCAATGCAACGAATAGAATTGAAATCGAAAGAAAGGGTTCTCTTGCGTGACCATTAAATCGATGACTGTGAGTATTGCTTTGCTCGTCTTACCAATTATATTTAGATAAATTTATATTTATTTTAACATCGTTTTCGCTCTACTGATTTCTCTCTCGTCCATTGTCATTAATTAAATTTGCATATATGTCTACTTTATTTTTGTGGTTAATTAGTGTCAATTATTTGCAGAATACCAGGCAAACTGATTACAAATCTTTTCACCTTTGACATTTACATTTTTTACTGCTGTGATCGATACTATAGGATTTGTAACTACGTTTTGTCAAAGATTTGAAATAGAAGAAATTCAAGTAAATTTCAGTAAAATTTGACGATATTGTTGTAATGGTCAATGTAAAATCATTTACACAAGTCCTTTGAGTATTTGTTTTGCTCTCTTAAATTATAGTTACTTGAAGGATGGCAAAATGGAGGTAGATTTAATTAAGCTAAAAATGTTTTCTGTCTTAGTCTATGCTTACATGTGTTTGCTTAGAATTATTTGAATGTTGCAAGAGAAGGAGATAATACACTGCTTGAGTATAAACAAATTTCTTTTTGAAGTCTGGGTTTGTAGCGAAATATTGATCAACATTTGGCGTCGTTCATTTCACGCATTTGTTCATTCATCATCCACAGCTGCATTCTCATGTTCGCTTTACTCTTATAAAATTTTCACCACTGATCATCATTCTTTTTATGAAATATTTAATTTATCTCTGTCCAAGTAAATATTAATTAATTCTGAGTATTGATATATTTAAAATAAGTCTGTTTGAGTCACAAAATGAGGTGAAAAGACCGTCTGCTAACGTTTTAATATTTTTATTTACGCATTGTTCAATTAATTATCCATTCAGCAGTTTCATTCTGCATGCCCACTCTTTTTTCAGTTTAGTTCTCATAAATTTTCCTGTCTGATTTGTGTGTTATTTTCAATATTTCATTTATGATCATAAGTCTTTATTATCGATACAAACTAAGATGATGGCTGAATGATGCTTCATTTATTAATATAGCAGTTGCTGATTAAAGATGAGTACTGCATTTTTGTTCACTCTTTTCAAATATCAATCAGTACTGACTGATTCACTGGTATGCAACGGAAGAGCTGGCATTATCTTCGTTATTGTCACTAATTGTTTTGCCTCTCTGCATTCTGTTTTCTTTTATGTATTAATGCTTTAACCGTGAGAATTTTCTGTCTTGTTGGTACTTCATCGAATTATACTGAATAAAAAGTTTCTAGTACTAATTTGTGGTTGTCATCTAAAATGCCTTGCGTAATTACTCTTCACACGCTTGCTTTTTCAGCTAGTGCAGTTAGTCTTGTACATTAAAGTTGTGAAAATATTCAGAATTTGTTACTTCTGTTCACAGTTGTTACTAATGCGTAATCGTAATT